GCCCTGTGATGCACTGGCATCCTGTCCAGGGTGCCCCCCTGCCCTGTGCCCTGTGATGCACTGGCATCCTGTCCAGGGTGCCCCCCTGCCCTGTGCCCTGTGATGCACTGGCATCCTGTCCAGGGTGCCCCCCTGCCTTGTGCCCTGTGATGCACTGGCATCCTGTCCAGGGTGCCCCCCTGCTTACCCTCCTGTGCTTCCTGAGATTTGTATTTGATCTTAATGAACAAAAATCAAGGACAGTTCTATGTCAGCGCTACAGATGAGTCTCTGCCTTTTTTGTCATCTATTCAAAAAATTCCATTAGTCTCATTAGCATTTCACAACCAATATGATAACTGACATCAAAAGTAAATAAGTTTCGACGAGATCACGGTCTAGTAGTTGTTGATGTTTCGGAAATTCAAAGAGAGATTAGGAGGTAATTATTGTAAGATGTGGTGGCTTTTGGTGGCTCTTTATGCTTGACAATTACTTTGAGGGCTTGAAAACATTTGAGGGCTTTGAAAACATTTGTTTACTACATTTGTTATTTTTGCTGAATTAGACTAGTTGGCTAGTACCAAAAATTCTGGAGTCCTCCCCCCCAGGTGTTTTTACTGTTGCCACTTGCTACTTTTTTTTCTTTATTTTACCTTTCGGATGAAATCAGAACACGTGAATATTAAGGGATAGTTAAAAAAAAAGGTGTGGCTTGAAATGATACAGCTTACATAGTTAATTAACCAACCCAGCCACAAAACCACATCCTGGTGTATATGTTAGAGGTTGGGAACCTCTGTCCTACACAATTTACTGGCTCTGTATCACTCACTCCATAATTAGCAAGGTTCTGAATGCGTAAACCCTCCATTGCCCCTAAATTTTTCTCTCTGTGAGCCATGGCTGGGGCAATGTTCCTGACATGGAGGTATGTTCTCACACTGCTTTCAACCCTAATGAAGCAAGAACTGAAGGTCCCTTGGATTGGCTCCTACAACCGCTGCACTACATGCAGTGTTACACTAATAATTAAGTGAAGTTTGTACTGCATTGTGAATGTATACATTTTTGAATGAAATATTTTTAGAACTGTTTATGCTTGACTATGCATTTAACACGTGAGAATTCAGATGCCTGGACACAAATCTGAAATAATTATCAATATAATTACAAACAGGGTCCCAGTGACCCCGAATAGGACAAGCAGGTATAGAAGATGGATGGATGAATAGATGGATGGATGGATGGTAGTAAAGTGACAACCTTGTTTAATAAGATTTTAAGAGCTACCACCTGTCGTATATTTTGCAGGATTGTCCCGAGTTGAAAAGTAAAATGCTGTGTATGTTTTCAATAGAAACGGGACTCGAATTGTCCCATGTTTTTGCATCTAGACTGAAATGTGAATGTTTGCTTCAGAAAGAATTATTGACTATGTAATTACAAAGAGAACTTTTTATCTAACTGAAAGTATAGACTCCACATAGACATTACATAGGCTATCCCTTCAAGGCTAAGAAAACACACAAAAAACACCATATGACAAACTTCATTGACCTGTCTGATGTAATGTCAGCTTTTATTACAATATTATTACAATATTACAGGAGTGCAAATAAAAATAGATATTGGCCTAATAAATAACGAGAATAAATAATATAGCTTATAACTGAATTTATACAATTCAATGATATATAATATCTAAATATAGATAGCATTGTCTTCAGTCTTTTCTCCGATTCTTCATGTTGACAATAAATTGAGAATTCCTCAATGTTTCAAAGAGGCTCTCCATCTCAGCTCTTACAATTTCCCATGCACAAAGGCTGTGATTCTGCAAAAGAGTGATGCATTAAAAATACAGGCCTCACACACAACCACATTACTATTGGTGTGATCAGTTTCTTGTTTCCTTTTGCAATTTTAGTCATATAAAAGGTATATAAAACATTTATGTGTCAGATGCAGGGATAAGATGTACTGTAAATCTACCATTAATGTATGTACTGACTCATATGCACTGAAACGCTTTTCTTACTTCTTTTGATAAAAAGTCTCTCAGGTCTTTGAAGTAATCTTCCATTTTCTTCGTCTTTGTTTTTTTGGGGGTTGAGTTCTTCGGCTGAAATAGAGAGCAGTCGTATGAATACCTGAACCTCTGTTTCGGGATTACAGATATATCATTATTTTATTTGTCACTACAGTTTAAAGTGCTATGGTTTTATTGTGAGCCTTTCCTTTTAACATAAAGTGTGAGCAAATCAAATGTTAATGTGACAAGCATGTATTTCATGAAACTTACACAACGCGAATAGTTGACTTTCTGGCGAACAAGGAGTTGCTGGAGATTTTCCAGACTGGACTGCTTCCATTTCACCAAATGCAAATCTTCGGAGAAGAGTTCACTTGATAGTCTGATAGCTTGTTCGAATGTCTGAAACCAATGGATCTTTAGTTAATAATAACTAAAACAGGAACAAATGATCATGCAGCAGCAAATGAAAAATCATCAATATGATCAACATTCTGTGACCCTTCTATTATTACTATCGGGTAGGATGGGGGAACACGTCCCCTCCACTTATATTGGGACCTTCAAATGTCTCCCCACTTTTGACAGAAAAAGAAAACAAAAGTTCGATAAGCAGCATCCCTAAATAGGGTTGGATCCTGTGATACCTGAACTCCTCAAAATGTCTCCACTATCACAAACTACTGACAGCATGTGGTTGCTGGAGGTAGGAGTCCCCTCACATGCGGGCGCATCCGCGTGCCTATACGCATGCATTGCCATTGTCTCCTTTTATCTCCGTTTGTAGATAATTGTAAAAAAACACGCATTCTTTTTAACCTATACATGGTTTTAAAATTTTCCACTTCCACGATGACCTACCGATTTAACGAAGGATAAATAACTCAAACACCGATGTCACTTTCTAAAACATTTTATTCAAAACCCATCTATACTTGCCGCATTTGTGACTTTGCGCATTCTGTTTGTAATCCGCCGCGGCGGGTTTTGGGTCCTGAACGAGTTGAGAACTGATCTGCCTAAGTTGTGCCCGAAGCAGTTTTGGTCATACAGACCAAAGTGTTATGCAATACAGAAAAAAAACTATCTGGAAAACACAAAGATCTAACACAGTGTTCATCGTAGATCTTAAAAATGAGGACATACGCTACTAAGTAAACCATCCATAACTATAGCGGTGGATGCTGTTGCCTTTTTATAAAGGATTTGGATTTACAAATAGCAACCAATATAAGTACACATACATTTTATATAGGCTTAATCTATACCAAGCCTGTGTTGGATACAGTTGTTCACAGAATCTCTTCCATATCTCTGATAGACTAATTTATGTTACTATAATAAAGATAACTGCTTAATCTAAGTTCAACCTAACGTGAAATTATGGTTGTTAGAATAAAGCAATAAATCAAGAATGTGTCCTCACATAAAATGTAACATTATAGTATACTGGGGTTCAGTGACTTGCAACACATTATACAGAAGGCTATCTGTTGTTTATGCTATTGTCCAACAGGCTATTTGTGGGTGATTAGCAACTCCATCCCAGACAAAAAGTAACATTGTATGTCTGTAGGTCCGTGTAAATCACTGTGTATTGTAATAAACCATTAGCCCAAATCACACCAAATGCCTCATAAAAGTTGAGACCTCCCCCCACTTCAAAAATCTGTCCTGCACCCCTGATTACTATATTTATTACTAACAGAATTATACCCATAATGCATCAATAAATGTTTAAGCATGGTATGTCTGAATTATGACATGGTGAAAAAATTAAAGGCAAGCTAAAAATCCCTCAAAAGCCACTGACGCCTAGACGGCAGCCAACATGTTCTCTAAATAAGATGCTGCTAAAAGTCTATATTATCATTATTATTTCACAACAGTCCTTTACCTTACAAACCTTACAATCATTTCTAAATTAGTAAATGTAATTGGTACAGAAAATGAATGGGTGGGTAAATGGATAGATGGATGGATGGTAATTGTGATGTTTTTTTTTTTTATAAATCACAGAGAATTTACATATCTGGAAGCCAAACTTTGATAAAGTGGTAACTGCATTGTTCACTCAATTAAATAGGCTACTTGATGTTAAGAAACTTTAGTACGTTAGCCATCTTGCTAACTAGTTTTGTTCATTTATAACAGACAATTACCTATGCCTGTTAGTGCCATTGCACTATAGGCTAATTATTTTAACAACTTAAGTTTACATGGCATTCAGACTCAGCTAACAAATGTTATAATGCATATCCATCTAAATCTACCTTGTTAGATAACTAAATATCATGTGTGTTTTCTTTCTCATTCTCAGTGCACCACTGAAGTTCGTAAGCAGCACCACAAAAATGGAACGGAACAGAAAGATCCCACGATGATAACCAAGTTCAATGTATGGAATATGGTATTGTTCGGTTCCTTATTCGGTCATCCTGTTATGGTAGAGCATGGGAACAGATGGACAACCAATCTGCAGCTCCACAAGGGCGAGTTTTTTACGAAAAACATGACTAGAAAACAAAAGAACCACATGGGGTCAAAAACAAGGCACGGCAAACACAACAGAGAAAAGGATAAACTAAACACAAGAGAAGACTAAGTACCAGCAGGATCTGGAAACCCACAAGACCGACCAAACAAACAGATCAAACACAGCAACAACCACAATAACCAACTGAGGAACAGACCAAAGTCAGGCACTTACATACACTTGATAACAAGACTAGATGAGGGACAGGTGAGAACCATAACCAATTAACCAGTCACTGAGGACTCAGGGCCACAAGGAACAGGTGGGGTACATTTACAATCAACAGGCACTAGAGTCTTGGAAACATTAATAAATACCTAGGGTTTCTGACACTAGGAGAGACTTGGAACACAAGTAAAACAAAACATAACTGAACAAGACACAGGTAGGGAAACCATTAAGAAGGACACAAAAGCAAAAGTCTATATTTCAATATAAGAAACCAGGGGGGAACAACCCAAACTATCACATTATGTTTGGTTCACGATGGATGGGATGGCTGCTTCTTAGCCACACACTGAGCCACGCAGCAGCCCAAGGAGCTGGCAAACGCACTAGGTACATAACCCCAAATGGCATGAACTGCAAGAACTGCTGGCCAAACGGGGAGAGGAGCGGACGGGACAGGACCGGATGGGTACTGATCCTGACAGGCAGCGCAGATTTCCCTCAAAATTCTGACCATTTACACCTTTTATTTTGCATAAAAAATTTTTAATTATTATTTATTTTAATATATTTATTTCTATTACATTACATTCTGTCATTATTCTTTATTTTATTTCACAAATGTTATGTTTTTATTGCGTTGCTTTATTTGCGTATTGTTTTTTACAGAAGTTAAAATAAAGTACTTGTGTTTATTAAAATCCCTTTGTTGAACTTAATAATTTAGATTATGATAAATAATTAAAAGAAGTCAGCGATAAGACTGCATCACCTCCAAGGCGAGGGACCCAAATTACAATGTAATTTTACATGACTGGGGGGTGGGGTGCTAATTTAATCCCGTACAAAATGCAATCGCATCACGGTAATAAATTAATTGAACTGTTATTCTATTTCTTACCTGGTCTACGTTCTTCGGGCGTTTTTTGATCCGTATGCTCATCGCCTCAGCAGAGCACTCTGACGGCAGTCTCGGTCCCTGTTAATTTGCACAGCAGAAATGGTTAGTAACGTTGTGAAATATGATTATCTTTTCAATAATTTTAATTATGACATTAACAGTAAAAATAAAAGGTCTTACCATGGACTTCAAGAAATGAAGACTTCGAGTGATGTAGTGATTCGGTTCATTTCCAGCCATACATCTTGAATGGACTGCAGGGAAAATGACCAAGACATATAAAAGCAAACCTGCTGTAAGATTCATTGTAGATCTTAAAAATAAGGACATGCGACGAAGTAAACCATCTATAATTATAGCCGCAGATGCTGTTGCCTTTTTATAAAGGCTTTGGTTTTTACAAATTTACAAATGGGCGGAAATTTGTAAGCATGGAAAATGAAAGCGCATGAAAAACCCGGCAGTGGTTTCATATTTACCTTACATACATTCATTAAGCGGACGTTTTTAATTATCCCTGGAGAATTTCGGGTTAATGGGACTTGCTGGAAATCTGTACAACTCAACGGTGAGGTATATATAGGAATCGGGGCAGGGGGCTGTTCCCCCCAGTATTTTATTAGGATTTTATTCATCACCCCCAATAAATACATACATAGACCGTAGGATTTAAATTATCAAATTGTTCCCCCCCCAAAAAAACCATATAACTGTCTCATACGCCATTGGGTGACATAAACCAGCCAGCTATGGGATTTGAACCAGCACACTTATGATTACAGTCCTACCCACACTACCACAACCAAGTAAGCTCTTAGAATGTTACGTTTTGGACAGGAGTCAGAAATAAATGCTCATTCACAATGACTTGAATTGTTCATAAACGGTATATTCCCTTCTTTATAATGGGTAGGCTACTGTACAATTGCTCGTTATGGGACTAGAACGTAACACTATTGACAAACTGATGCTTAAACCTCAAAGTGGCCACAGAACAAACGCGCATTCAATATTGATAGTAATTTATTCCCCAAAACAGTTCAACGCTTAAAAAGTTAGATTTTGTAACTTTTGGATAGTCACGTTTTATGTGAAATATAAAATCTTACAAAATACAGCTTGCATGTGTCTGGCGGAGTCGTTCAGCCTGCATACGTTCTTGGTACACATTTGGCCAAATCATTTTCTGTCGTCTCTTTTTCCGGAATTTCCATTCTAAAGCGAGTCAATGAAGCAATTCTCAGGGAATCAATATATTTTCGGTGTCCTCTGTGTCCACATTTTCGAAATTGTTACGAATCACGAGTCGAATGCATTACCTTAGACTTTATTAAAACCACCTTACGTAATCAGTGTATTTCCTCATGTTTTCTTTCGTCATCGACCATTTTCACTTTCTAATACCACGTATCTAATTATAGGTCTCTATCCTACAGGACACAAAGACCGCTTATGTCTATATGTTTACTTGACTCAAAACCTTTTTGGCTCCCTGGGAAATTTCGCTGTTACATGGAATGCGGGTGGGGTGGGGGGGGGAGTTTTGCTGATGACGAGTCACGATTATCTGTATACCTACAAAGAATTCCATGCAAACTGATAGAAACTTAATTTAAAAGCCCACATTATATCCATTTTTTTAAATCGATATTTTTAGTGGAGGCAAACGATACTACTTGCGATAGGACGACCTTTAATTAATGGATATCCTTCTGGTCTGTAATGGATGGGGTGGTTTTTGCCCGGCTACATTAGGTAGGCCAACATTTATATTTATATTCTGCACGTCGTCGTCGGATCAGAGGGTAGGTACGCGTAGGTTGATGTGTCCGTGTTCATTGTGGACGTACATGCGTGGTGGTGGGCGGTGTTTGTCCCAGTAAATATTACGTAGTGATACATCAGTAACATATAGGCCCCCGTCTGTGTCATTGAATGTGGTCCCCCTGCACCCCACGCTGTTCAGGTGCATTAACTGTTCACAGCTCTTAGGAGCCGTCTTTGTATTTCTTTGTTTTTATCCCGGATTGCAAAACTGCGTGAATCAAACACCATTTTATGTATTACAATCAGGTGCGGATTCAGAAAATTTTGCATGGCGGTATTAGGGGATGCAACACGGAAACATTTTCAGATGCGCAGGTATATACGCAGGCCCATGAGACACTTAGGCCTAACGCAAATACGATCAGCGATTACAAAGTCCAGCGTCAGTGCAACAATCAGCAGTTTATTGTATATAAGTGATCGAGATATAATCCTAAACCCAGCTGTAACAACCTTAACCCCTACCCATGTCTAACCTTAACCATAAGTAATAGAAAAAATGTTAGGTTACAGGTTTTTAATCACATAGTTGAGAAATCATGGGTCCCCACAATTTAATAATTACAAAAACGCAAAAACACATACGCTGCTTTTATTAAAAAAACAAACATCAGCAATCCCTGACGACTCAATATCATTGTCTATCCCGATATTTTAAAATTAAAACATCGCGTATTATTTTTTTAGATATTGCCCAGGCTTACCACAAAGATACAGAGAAACGACATCATACGTTGTTGATTCGTGTAAAGTATGTTTAAATAATTAGAAAGTAGTAAAATTTTATCAAACAGTTGTATTACTGTAAGTTCAAAGCTTATTATGCGCCTCGTGGCGTGGGAAGGAGAGCCAGGGGAGACTGGGTGAAAGGGGAACAAACCAACATGTACTGGAGGGGTAGCGTATACATGGTACTTCGAGCTTGGGAGATTATATTTGACGTGCTTTAAGTCAGGATAGCTGTTATGAATTATATTGATTTCGATTCCATAATAATGATTTCTTGGATTCTTCAGGGGAAGAGGTCCCCATCTGCCACCCCGTAGATCCGCACCTTAGTCTAGAACAGGGGTGGCCAATCTTATCCACAAAGGGCCGGTGTGTATACGGGTTTTCGCTGCAACTCCCTAATTAGATTACTAATTAGAGGACTGATTGGCTGAAGAGTCCTCACGCCTGGGTTTGAACAGCTGACCTGCAGGTTATCCGAAAAACCTGCATACACACCGGCCCTTTACGGATAAGTTTGGCCACCCCTGGTCTAGAATATAACATGATCAGCTCAGACTTCGCAAGGGTTTCCATTTGTTTGCATTTGCTTTTGCTAGTTAACACAACAAATACATTTAATTCCAAAGGGTTCCACGCATATGGTCTTCATGCTCCGTAGAGAACCGTCAATGTCCATGTCGCATTGCTTACAGTATGCTCAAGATTGGAAACTGAGTGCGGCTGGAAACAGTCTCTCTGTTACTTTGTATCACTCAGATTTATGGGCGTACCTCATGACGTTTTTATTGAAGTCGTGGGATTGGGGATCCCTGACTTGCGCCCTGTTATTTCTGAGGGCTGACTAATGGAAATCGTATATTGCGACATAAAATGTAAAGTTATAATAGTACTGAATGTAAGTCCTGTTCAGTACAAGGAGAAATACGTAACTATTCGCTGAGGGGACCAGGAACTAACTAACTCACGAACTAGACAGACAGACAGACAGGCAGGCAGGCAGACAGACAGACAGACAGACAGACAGACAGACAGACAGACAGTAAGTAAATGATTACTTTCGGTATAATACCAGATCCATGTTGTTTTAACCCTGTAGCTTCATTAGAATATTTGACTGAAATAGATACTCTTGTATTCAGTGTATTCTTCTCTTATGGGTAAGCAGTAACCTGATTGTCTAAAACTGTAAACAAATCTTCAAAAAGCCCCAGTATCATTACTAATCATTTGGAGGGTTGGAGGCGTGACTCAGGTGACTGAGAGTATTAATTCAATGCACTTGTTCCTCTTTTAGTATCTTGACTAACTGCTGAGACACTGACTCCCAGCCTGTCTGTCGCCATAATGATCTGTTTTCCCTGACAGCCTGCCCATCATTATATTTACTTCTTGCCAAAGTGGCTGTTTTAGGTTCTTGTATTAACCCTTGTGTTTCGTGGGTGACCCCATACGTGACCCCCTAACCCTATTCCCAAGGTGAACCACATGCTCTGGGCCCCCTCCCCCCATGTCACATGGCTTTATTTCACATTCTGACTGTCCTGATTCTTGCAATAGAAAATTTGAATTGAAAAATATTTTATCAGTACCATAGCAGTGCAATGGGAATTACTGTTACCTCACCCCTCTAGGGTTAGAGGTGTATTTGGATTTTTTATTGTGGAATTTTTCTTAGGGAATCTTGCAAGTTCTGCCTTTCAAAAGTATTTTTTTCAATAAGCATAGTCAATAGGATTGAATATAGTGCTTGCATATGAATGTATGATATTCACACAACATTTTTATATTACAGCATTATTTCTTTTTAAATGTTGAATACTTTCTCAACATTTTCAGTTTGTGATACTGAAGTCTCATGGTAGATTTGGAAAGAAAATTGGACATCGGTCGGCCCGGGTGGGAAGACATATTGGGTCTGTTATGTCTTGGGCAAGAAGGGATTGTTTTGAATACTGTGTGCCCTCGCCTCATGATGAGACGGATAGTTCCCCAGACGCTGAAGAGAGACGGGCAGTGGAGAAGGGGGGGGGAGAAGCCACCTGCAGGGAGGGAGTGGAAGCGCCCCCACCTGGTGCACAGAGAGCTGTAGTTATAAAGCAGTCGCAGTAGGCCATACGCAGTATGTTACGCAGTAGTACAAATGTATAAGTAGCTGTCACATGAATTGTATGTTAACCATGTATTTACAGTAAATCAATATCTATATCCACATCTCAAGTATAAGTCTAGCAGTCGAGGAATTTGCATAAAATTGCATAAAATGGGTGGATGTACCCTGCCACGAAGGTGAACCAATAGAGCAGGAGAATTGTGTTTGTTATACATCTGAGCTTGCTTTGTTGGTGTTTTGTGACCAATCACGACTTAGAAGTCCTATTATGGAATTGGGTGTTATGGTTTATCAACTGGTTGCTCTTTGTGCTCGGGGTACCTGGTGCCAGAGCGTGATGAGAGCGCTTGGCTGGATTGCTTGAATAAAAGAGATAACTTTGCTCAACAAACTGAGAGGTCCGGAGATTCATTCTAAGTGGTTTAACTCGAGTAAATAGAGAGGTTGATCTATATTTTTTCTTCCACAGTAGACACTAAAATGGTAAATGTATTTCAGTTAATCTAAGAAAATTAATCTGGTTTATTAATGTTATTAATTTTAGTCCACTTTTAACCTTCTTTTACGAAATCATATTCTTCCTACTTCACTCAGCAAATATCTGTACAATTTCATGTTGCATTTGTACCTGTAACATTCCGTGTGATGCATCCAAATATACACTTTGCAGATATGTAGTGATACATACAGTCATATACACAGTCACATGCGTAGCACATTAATAATGCCACTGAGGCAGTTCCACATAAAACTGTTTCTACTATATATGAAAAAAGCGGTTTTGTATAGATTCATATTGCAGTTTGCGACACCAACATGAAATGACTGAATTTTGATGGGATTTTCCTGTAACACATGAGAGCACAGAGATTTTAATTATAATCAGTGTAAATAATTTACGTATACATGCTGAATAAGTTATTGAACAGTATAATATATTATATAATGTACAATATATATAGTACAATAACACATGGCTTAGACTGGGCACTCAAACAAAATCATTTGACCTGACTGGCATTTCAGTGGGATGAAACTAGAGAACTCAGGGAAAACTCTTGCATTCGAGCTAACTGATGCAGAATGGGCTAGGGAGCCCTTTTAAGATTATGGTAGGATTACCATAATCCCTGCCGGCCCCTGGAGGATGGGCTCCCCCTTTGAGTCTGGTCCCTCCCAAGGTTTCTTCCTTCTGGGGAGTTTTTCCTTGCCACTGTCGCCTATGGCTTACTCACTGGGGGCTTTGGGCGGGGATGCTGTAAAGCGCTTTGAGACGATGTAATGTGATAATGCGCTATACAAAAATAAATTTGTTGTTGTTGTTACGGTCACATTTCAAAAGTCCGATGAGTGCAAAGCCTATTGCTTCATTCTGTATGCTACACATTTAATTGTATTTTATCTGGAGTTGAAGGTCTGTAGGTACTACAAAGTCATGCCAGCAACTGTAATCATCACCAAGGCCTGGAGAAGTGAGAATAGTCTGTTTCCTTCCATGGCTTCTGAATGTTTTCAGCTATGTTCCCATACAGAGAATTCTCAGTGAAGTAGCAAAATGATGGGCAGGCCATGATTTTTTAACCACAGTAAATCACATGAGGGTACACCCTGTCATAACACTGTGCAGTCCCTTTTTAATGACCACATATTCATAGGACAGCAGAAGGCAGGAGGCGCATAGACTGATTTGCAGGGCGTTCAGTCAATTCATGAATCCATAAAGAATTTCATTCATGATTATGAGACTCTGGATGACATAAAAACAACAGAAAAATTGAGTCTCACTGTGAAAATGTAGATTCCAAATAAAAACCACTGAGCTGCAGTACAACATTCTTCAAAGTAGTTTCTGCATTACCGGGGAATTAAGCCACTCTCAGCACACCACAAAGGAGAGTAAAAAGAAAAAAAAACAATTCCCCATTCTACAATCTTCACATCTGGTGGGTTAGCAAGCAGCTTATGCACACTCATGCACATACAAAGCCATGGAAATAATTAAGAGACCACTGTATATTTTTTAATAAATCTGCATTTTTAAATACTGATTTAATTGTGGTTCTGCTGGCAGAAGGCTACACTGAGAAAAAAGTTGCTTCCAGGTTCAAATTTTCTATGACAGCAGTACACAAGAATAAAGTGAAGCAGGAGACACTGGAAACGACCAGAAACCAGCCAGGTAGAGGGTGGAAACGACCTTCCAATGCCAAAGATGACCGTAAACTTATCCGACAGTTTCTCATGAATAGGAGGATGACATCAATTGCAACCTTAGAAAGGAATGGGGAACATTAAGTGCAGGTCTGAAGTGCACTGCTAGGACAGTTCGTATCTGGCTCATAGAAGCAGGATTGGAATCCAATAAAGCAAGGAAGAAGCCCTTCATTAATGAGAAACAGAACAATCAGGCTGCACTTTGCAACAAAAATATATATTATTCACAGACACACTCAAAAATTGAGAAATAAGTGAAACAAAAAATTGTGCTGTGGTCTCTTAATTTTTTACGCAGCTGTGTATAATGTAAACTCCCACACACTGCAGGGGCATGTTAACTGCTTACCTGGGGACCTGAGGAACTGGGAGACCCCCAGTAAGTCTCACCCAACAGCTACGTTGTGCCCAAAACTTCCCCCTAAACCTAACAATAACATTTTGTTTCTCGGTTCTACTCAATAAGCTTGTTATAAAATCGATCACTCCGGTAATGAAAGCCACAAACAATCCTTTATTCATTGCCATGACTTTTCACGAGAAAATAAAGGAGAAAATTATTCCAGTCCAGTCCCCCAAAGCACAAAGAATATTTTTTGAATATGAAACCAGCGGCAGCCACAGTCTCAACCACGTAGCTTTCGAGAATAAAGTAATCTTTTGATTTTCAACATAGCATAAGACAACATACACAAAGAACAGAAATTAAACATTGGCAAATCATATTTACTTATTACGTTTCATTGGTAACACAATTAATTGACGTATATTGAATGATCACTGCGATTTTACACGTACCTCAAGGCATCTTAATTCATTGAACTTGTGTATGGATTATATAATCTGACTCATCCATCCCAAACACCACAATGGACTTCCAGGGAAGCCTGTTGTTTCCCTGTTTTGCCAGCAGGTGTCCCTGGTCATCACATTTTTTTCTCTGTGTTTCCCTAGGTTTAGCTCATCTCACAGTCCCTGTTGTTTTACACTGCTAAACTGCTCCCTGAGCCACTGCATGGCTGAATGGGCTGAGCGTGCAGCTGAGTACTGCGCATTCCTAACCATCATGGGTGTTGGACATTTTGTGATCTCTTGTTTTCCCCAAGTTAATTATGCTTTTGTGCTCATGTATTTCAGTTTTGGTCTTTGTTTTGTACCTTTGATCTTTTGATTTGTACCACCCTGTATCTAATTTTTTAGATTCCTGTTTCACCAATGTTCTTAGCATCTCCTAGTGTTTGAATCCTGTTGCTAGAGACCTGCACTCCAGCGGGAGTACCGCGGGACCCAACGCACCGAGTGCGGCGCGGGAAAAGATTTGATGGGTGAATGCGGGTGCGGGCGGTAAGGTCCTCATGTACGTGCGGGTTGCGGGAGAATAGAATTAATCGCGGGACTCCCGCAAAATGGAATTATCTTAAAATCAATTTATTAAAAACAAATACTCTATTATTTATCTACTGCACAAAAGCAACAAGAACGACTAAATTAAAATTATAACAATTTACAGGCGAATCGTCTACAGAAACTACAATTGCCGAGCTCTGAGTGCCGGGGGACGTAACCGGACACCCCAAGAAAGAATCAGCCTGGTGCTTGGACGGGATGGCATGTTCTGAAAAGCTCCTCGTTCGTGTCAATGTTCATCATTCCATTTAATTAAACTCAAATAAAACGAAACATATTTGTTTATTTTCCGTTTCTTTTTTATATATACTCAAAAGGGAAGCAAGTGAAACAAATAACAGAGTAGCGGGAAGAAGCGGTAAAAATAAAACTACTTGTATGTTTACCTGGGGGATTTTGCGGGCGGGAGCGGGACAAAACTTGAATACCGCGGTCGGAAGCGAGAGAAAATAATATATATATTTTGCGGGAGCAGGACTGAAAAATCCGTCCCGCGCAGGTCTCTACCTGGTGCTTGTTAGTGATATTCACCTGTTCCCTGTAGCTCAGAGTCCCTAGAGCAGGGCTGGCCAATGCCAATTGCCATTATCAAAAAACAGAAGATAGAAACTTCGCGTATTTCAGTAATAATGTTAAGACAAATTCGAAAGAGGTCGCATAAGACACTCAAAGAACGTAAAACAACTAATTCACGGAAACACAAGCACGGTAGAAAGCGTACAGCGTCGTAAAATATTACGTATAGTGTTCGTATGCGTGAAAATATTGCACATCAGAGCCGCAAGTTGCAAATCGGATAGTGGCAAGAACCATCCTCTTCCCCTCTGTAACGGAAGAAAATGACAATTTCACTACAGGGGAAGAAATCATAAATACTGACATAGCAATATCACATGTTTAAGACACAGCCAACTGCCGGAGATCTAGTCTGTGATAAAGAAATCCCGAGGTATGCAGTGACCAATCGTGCATGCTCCCACTGTCAGATTAGCTAACGGTTAACAAGCCGCATGCCCGACAAGAAGTGAATCTCAATACCAAGAACGCAAAGACCGTACTTGCGCTCTTAGCAAGACCGGTTGCGCTAACTTGCCTTCCTAGAAGGAACTTGGGGCGCAGTGAATCATGGGATTGGTCTCGTTCGGCGAGCGTTACCATTGGAACTGGTCTTCGGCAATGGAAGATGACGTAAAACGGGTACTCGAGAACACAAGTACGGTCAAGTCCAGGGTCTTCCGTAAGCTAGCGTCACTTTGGCGGAAACAGCTGATGAGGAAACTGTAAACAAGGTCCCAGTGTGCGGGTCCATGCTCTAGTTCAGGCGGTTGTCATTGGTGTTTTGGCAGTAACGTTTATTTTATACAACCCATGCTGATTCTCAGCGGGTTAAAATCGCAGTGAAATACGAAGAAGTGCACCGCGAAACACTGTACCACAGCGACAAGAAATGGGGAAGTAATTAAGGGAGCTGCTGTGCTGGGGAGTTAAAGCTGAAGTCTACAGAAACAAAGAGCGTTTGTACGGTAAGGAGACAGCTTCCGGTTATGCGGGAGAAGACACACTGACAGTCGGCTCCGCGCACCGAGACCAGTACGGCGCCGTTGGTTTCGTTTTATCTAGTTATATGTTGCATGCTTGGAGTCACCAGTAAAACTTCGCTTGGCTCAATACGGTGACCATGCATCCCTGTTGCCAGTGAGGAAAAACGACCACGTACTTGGGGGTCTCACGTAAATCACGTGTGCTGTTTTTGTGCATGGCTGCATATTTGCACGTGACTGCATGATCAGTACACGCCCGGTATTTTATATTGTCGGGTGATATTGGTAGCTTCTACCTAATACATTAATGTCACTAACCGGATGACAAACTTGTTTGGATGACTAGGGTTCACGAGTTAATTTACGCGCTTAGCCACGTAATAGAAACAGGTTGGGAAAAAGGCAACAAATTGTTGTTTGACGTGTAGGCTATTGATCAGGCAATGTTCAGTGCTGATCGTTAGGATTGTGAGACGTGGATTTATGGTTATGCTGTTAACACAGCGGTCTAAATACCGTCTCGTGGCCAAGTAAGAGGTATGTCATTAAATTTGTGTTCTGCCTTATGTTTGATTATCACCGACAGTACCGCATTTGTTTGTCATTTATATTAATATCTATACTGTGTTTCTCGGATATTTTCTATGGGACTCTGTTATTCCAGATTTTTTTTGTTATTCCATAATTCGTTGAACTCGGGTTTGAATGGGTGGGAGCATCCAATATTACTCGCTTAACTGCTCAAGTGTCACGGAATGTTCTAGTTGGCATTTTGGGACACTTGGGATTGGAGCTTAATGTGTTATTTCTGCACTACTGAATTCTTACGTGTCTGTGTCTTTTTTCCCCTGCCTCACATTGTCAGCTGAGGATGAGTTGTGTTTTTGTGTTTCAGTGACATGCTTGAGTGAACCACCTGCAATAGTGCAATGCTTTCGACTCACTCACCAGAGAACTGGCCTGAACCGAAAGAAGTGAAACAGGTACAAGTTTGGGCACCTGTCTCTTAAACAGCTTTGTCCAAACTCAGAAGGGACATAATTTTAGCTGCTGCTGAAAACAGGAAGATTTCTGATCTTCATGGACAAATGAGGCAAACAGTGGAACACAATTAACTGGAACTGACAGACTACTGTAACAAGTTTTATCTTTAATCTCATACATTATTTCCTGTTAGGCTTGTCCACATAAATGGGAATATTCTTTTCTGTGATGGGCAACTTTTTAAAGGAGAACTGTAATTTAATAAATAGTTTATAAAGCAGACTATAGTTCCAAAAAGTGTTTGTCTTTAGTCAGGTGCGTATAGCTACTATTATAGCACCTAGTTGTTTGAGGGGAGACTGGAATAGAAACATAAGTTAGTTAATATTTGAAATTGAAATGTATCAAGTTTTGTTTACTGGTAAAAATGTGCAGAGATTCAGGTCATTGTAAGTACATCACTACAATGTGCAAGTCAGCAATTATGTGTCTTGACCTTTTGAGAAAATGATACTTCAGTGTTAGTCTGCAGCATGCAACTAGGGAAAAACAATGTGTGTTGTAGAAAATCAGGATGAGAGACAAAAGCAGAGAAGGTGGGGGGGAAAGGGTGTGGAAGTAAGTACTCTGTCACTTGACTATTTACAATATGTTTCAGGAAGTGGCTGCCTCAAGCCACCAAAATGTCACGAGTCCTGTAGCTGTAGCTTTATCCCTCCACCACACTTATCAGCTGATTTAACCCTTTAATCCTCTTCTCTGCCTCCGTAGTGGATAACAAGCAAGATAGCACTGTCACTCAAAGCCCTGCAGAAACGCTGCGTTACGACAGACACCGTGGTGACCAGCGAGGATGCCGATGCCAATTTGTTGTGCTGTGCCCTGGAGGCAGTGTTTGTCCATGGCATTAAGAGCAAGTACATCCGAGCTGAGGGCAGCGGGCGTGGCCGCAAGCCCAGTGGCCGGGGGCCCCTCCCCCAGCCAGTATTTTGGACCCTGCTGAAGACTATCACTCATCGGTGAGCTCAAGGCAGACGTTTCACTAAATGTTTTTCCGTCATCCTCTGTTTGTCGTGGATTTGTGTTTCCAGAGGCAGAGTTGTAGATAAGTACTGTAAGTCATAGAAGTTTTAGTTGGTTTTATTGTCATGCACGCATGGTGGAAATCTGATTGTTATAATTAACATCTACGCAACCATAATACTAAGGAATTGCATTAGCACTATAGTCTTTGACAGTCCTGAAATTGAGTGCAGCTTATTATTTAATTATGATGGTTATATATAAGTATATATATAATATTAGGTTACAGACTATAAATCAGATTTAAAATACATTTGTAACTAATCCATCCTCTCATCCATGTTCTGAAACGTGTTTCCTGACTAGCATCTCAGTTATTTGGATGAGCTATTGACGCTTTATAAACAACATTCAGATGTTCTAGAGCAGTGTTTCTCAACCCAGTCCTCAGCGAACCCCAGCCAGTCCACGTTTTTGCTCCCTCCCAGCTCCCAGCCAATCAGGAACACCGAATAGCTGGTACAGGTGCGCTGGGAGCTGAGAGGAAGCAAAAACGTGGACCGGCTGGGGTTCGCTGAGGACTGGGTTGAGAAACACTGCTCTAGAGTAAGTAGCAGTGTGTGTTATTTTTTAAGTCTTTCATGTGGCCGGCAGTTCATTCACTATAGTTCACATTTGCATGTGCTGTGGTCACTCTCTCTTTTCCTAGTGGCCTGTATGTCTTTTTTTGGCCCTTACTTCATTGTGCTTGTGTGCTGTGTCACCGTCTAAGACCCACGTCGCCTTTTCTCCCTGAGGGATGTGATCCTGGAGCTGGAACAGCTGAGCTTCATCAACAGCGATGTCGGCCGCTGCCGGGCCTGGGTGCGTCTGGCGCTTAATGACGGCCTGCTGGAGTGCTACCTGGCCTCTCTGCTGCGGGAGGACTCCAAGCTGACCAGCTACTACCAGCCCGGTGCCCTGATGCTGGATGCTGAGGAACGGGAGGTGCTGCTCAGTTATCTGCAGGGCCTGACCTCGCTTTCCTTCCAGCTGTCCTATAAGAGCGCCGTGCTCAACGAGTGGACCGTCACACCGCTGGTACTGGCTGGCCTCTGCCCCGCCATCAGTGACCCCCAGGACGCTCCGCAGCCGCCCCCGTCCACTGGGGTTGCCCCCCCGCAGACACAGGTGCGCAAGGAGTCCTGGGACACGGCGTCGCAGTCCTCCGGAGGCTCGGACGCTGTGGAGGTGCAGCAGGGGTTGGGGCACAGGAGGGGCGCGGGAAGCAGGGGCCAGCTGACGTCCTCCAGCCTCAGTCTGGACACCATGGGGTCCTCGCAGCTCTCTTCCAGCCTGAGCTCTGACAGCCTGCTGCAGGGCAATGGCCACAAGAGCCCAAGCAAGGAAGGATGGCCCACAGATCTGGGGAGGACGGCTGCTGGAGAGGAGCACGGGAAGGACCAGCAGCCGTGAGTCCAGCTGGCTGAAAAGCAGCCGTGAGGGGGGGGGTCTGAGCTTACACTCTGATTATTTACAGGTCACAGTCCAGTTATAGGAACAACATTACAAAAACCGCTGGCATTTTTCGGTTACTAGTATGTCATTGTGTGTAATACTCATTAGGGGTGTGACGGTACACAAAATTCAGGGTTGGGTACAAACCTCGGTCTTGGGTTCGCGGATTGAAACAATTTTTGGTACGTGAAGGAATCCTGAATTATTCTTGAAATTATTTATTATTAAAAGACAAACACGACTAAGGCAGTGTCAACGTATTCGAATTACAAAAGGTAAGAGATGCTTATTTGCACATTGTAAAAAACATATAAAACAAAGAAATTCTAAAATAAGACTACCATAACAGTGATAATGAACTTAAACTCGTCTAAATCCCGTGTTTTCTACTGTTGAGTCTGGATCCATATCTGTAGTGATAAATACCCCTTTAGCCATAGTTATTTTTTTAGCCCTGATCTGAATTTCCTACCAAAAGTGCCTTCGATGTCACAGGGAGACTAACTTGCAGAGGCAGTTTCTGCTCCGGTCGTGCACACGCTCGCATGATGTCGTCTCGAATGAGTTAGCACATTGGTTGTGTTGCTAGCAGCATATCTGAGTTTGGTATAACAGAGCTGACAGACAGTCTTGGTCTTACTAACAGCACGACAATACACATATATAGTACATGCCTAGATTTCCTTGCCGTTGGTATTAGTGGTAGTCGTGTATTATGTGGGTGATGTAGCATGCAGTCTGTCCATTTGCAGGATGTCTCTGGTGGAATATGAGGACGGCGTGCGCTCCAGTCAGGACTCCACGCAAGAGGACTCCTGTCTGTCCAGCCTGGCCCCAGACCACTTGTCGGAGGCTGCGACGTCCAGTGGTTCGGATGTCGAGATGCCCATTGCGGCACCGTCTACCCCCGAACCCTCCATGCTCGCCCAGGATGAGGAAGCGCCTGAGGAGGAGACGTCCGCTGCTGCCCCCGCTGTGCCAAGTGACCCCCCAGACACTGAAGAACTAGCTCCCCCACTCGTCACTGAGGTATCTCCAGATCCCACCCCGGAGCCTGTGGGACCCAGCCATGCCAGGGAGGACCTCAGCAGGAAGGCGTCTGTGGCCTCGCTCCACTCCCCAACCACTGGCCAGCCTGTGAGTCCCCCCCTGGCTCCACTGCACCTCCCTGATTTATTAGATTAGCTTTTCCCTGATTGTTTTTTCACTGCTCAGTGATAGAGCTGTTGTCCTGTGTCCATGTGTGTGAAGTTTGTATGTTTTTCTGGTTTCCTCCTGCATCCCAAGAACAAATATTTTGGCTAATTAATGTCTCTGATTTGCCCGTTGTGTGTCTGGTTGTGTGCATTTGTGCCCTGTGATGGCCTACTGACATGTTCTCTCTGCTTCCAACCCCCTGACCACTGGTCAGACGACGGGTAGATAGATGTTTATCGCCAAATAAATGGATGGATAGCAACAGTTCTGCCCAATGAAAAGTTTTTGCTCCACACTTGCACCTACTGTTCTCTGTTGTAGCATAGCAACCATAATGTCATTGTAAGCGTGGTTATGAAGCATGGAAGTGCAGCCATGCCTGGCCTAGCACTCAGTCGTTGCTTTGCAATGCCTTGTCTTCTCCACGTACGTCATCCTGGCTCATGGTGGTCTAATTCTGCGTTCCATTTACCTTGGAGATCGGAACTCCGAACTAGGAATGATGCGTTCCAATACAGCAATTTGGAAAACCATTTAGCAATAGCACAGGCGTATAAAAACTGTAGCAACACGTCCACAGATAGCGGTCAGACAGTACTGTGTGTACGACCGATTTAGTGAGACAAATAAAACATAAGTGCTAATAAACAGTGTAAAACTTCAGCTTTAACTTCTGTTGACAAAGGCTGCAGCCATCTTGGATTCTGAGCTCGGGGTTGCAGAGATTCCACCGAGTTAACGAGTCGGAATTCAGAATTCAGACTTCAGGGGGTGCTCCAGTTGAAATTTCCGACTAGGAACTCAGAATTTCCGAGCTGCGAGTTTAAATGGAACGCAGAGCTACGATTGCTCCCTGTGTGTGGCATTCGGTGCCAGGCTCCTAAACCCCGCCTCAAAACCGTGAGCCTTCTAATCAACAATCTGCCTGACATGTCCGCCATGTTGCTTCTCAGAAATGGTCCTGGATCTCTGAGGATGACTTCTACAAGCCTTGCCCTCAGGATGAGATAGAGTCCGATGGGGCGCCGCATACCGACACGGACCTACCAAACGGAACGCTCATGCCCCCCACACCCGTGGAGGCTGAGCCGACTCAGTCCCCCCCCAGCGTGGTGCACCGCAGGCAGATCGGTGAGGACACCCGTGCTTTGTGTACCCATCTCCTCTCACTTTGAACATTTCTCCTCTCCCATCAGCTGGTCTGCCAGCCACGTCCATGCCTGCTGCCGTATGGTCTGTGTGAGCAGCTGGTTTCTGCTTTGCATAATTCCAATCCATGAGAAAAATACAGTGCAATACAAACGCATTACCAGGGAAGAGAGATAACAGATTGATGTTTATTTGCTTGCCATTTTTACTGCAGATTGGAATATTACATAGTCAAAGCCAAACAACAAGGCTGTGGGATTCTGTTAACTTTGGTCAGTAAAGGCAGCTGGCTGCTGTCTTTGTCACCACACGGGATGCGTTTGGTGTGTTTACAGCAGACAGTTTTTGTCCCGTGGGAAGCAACTCATGCTTCACGGCTATGGAGCAACTTCCTTTCCAGTTGCCTTCATTATTGGTTGATCCACTTCTCACAAAAAATGGAGAGGAGAAGGGGTGGTGAGAGCCCGTGTGCAAGCCCACCCCCCCCCCCGGAGCTCGCCTGGTGATGCCGACACCTCACCCCTCTGTGGTACTTCTTCAGCTTCCTCCTTACAGCTCGTGTTTACAGTGTGTTTGTGCAGGACCCTGAATATCAGTCCACCATTCTTCTGCCTTTCACTGCGCAGCCGTTGTGTTTACCACCTTTCATTACTCCTCTGTTATTTTGCCCCTTTTGAGAGAAATGAGAGAAAATGAATGGTGTATCACTGAAAGACTGTAAACGGAGTCTTAGTAGGTAGCTATGCAGCTTCATAAATATCCCCAGGCTTAGGCTTTGAATCACATCCCTATCCTGAGTCTCTATGTTCTCCTTGTGCTTTTCTGTTTCTTTCTAATACTCCGTTTTCTCCTCCCTAAATTGCCCACAGTGGACCTCTGGTTCGCATCAGGAGTGAAACACAATTCGCCGACCCCCTCCCCCCACCTCAAATTTATAGACGATGACTTGTTCTTTCACCCCATCGGTCTTGGCTTTGTGTCTCTGGTGGAATTTGAGCCTCGAGGAATAACAATAGAGTATAGCAGGCTGTCGCATGCCATTATATGTGTGTGCGTCCTTCCAGGCTGCCCTCTGCCGTGGGCCTTTGTGCTCCGCACCCTTCTGCTTTCCAGGTTCGCTTTGATCCTGTACCAGATAAGTGGTAGGAGGGTTAATGAACGGGTGAATGAAATGAAGTCTACGTAGCCTTTGTCATGCTTTACCAGAAAGGTTTTCTTTCCTCATTCTTCTCCTTCTGTCTTGCTTGCCACTAGTTTGATGTTTTTCTAATACTTTTCCTGCGATCTTAACATTCTCCCGTCCATTTGAAACAACTCCTTAAAGTACTTTCATTTGCAACTCGCTGCCGCTCAGCAAGTCTTCCACTGATGTCAAAGGCAAAGCATTCATGTGTCTTTTGATAACTGACATAATTATTGTTTCGTTCCCACAGGCCTCTTTTCTCAGTTTGCCTTTGTTTCCCAGCGAAATGTATCTTCCTCTTATCTCATCCTGTTTTTTTTTTTTTTTTGTCTTTTCTGCCCTCCCCAGCCTTTGGTTGTTCTTTCATGGGGAGTTCTTCCTCATGTGTGCAACCTGTTGGTATCAGCTGGTGTTTAGGCGACACAGAGCTCTGTCCGTAGCCTTAAAGCTGCGGTTCGTACAGACGTGGATTTTTGTTTGAGGTCATGAGGCCGCAGGCTTGTCTCATGATTCATAATTGATGAATCCAGATGGAAATGGAAGTTTTCCTTGTGCAGGTCTGACTCCCTTTGACACAGTCTGGCATTTTTTTCTCTTTGCCCTGTTAAGATTAGCATGAGTAAAAGATTAAGTAGGAGCAACATACAGTCTACTCAAACCCATTTTTAGTTCACCTTCTGATATATATATATATACATCCTGATCAGGGTGTCTCCTTCCTGACACTTGTGACTCTGTACTCAGTGGATGGATGGATGCTCACATACATACATGCATACACACCTTTACATACCTATACATATCACATGGAGATACAAGCTTACTAAGCCATTCTGTTGACAGTCAAAGACAGACCGTAACCTGGAGGCTTAGGAGTGTCCATGCCTTTGTATGTCTGAGGAAAGTAATAAAATGTGTCCATTCATCTAGCCTTGTAAATGGGTAGGAGCATATATCGTTTTCATTGGATAAGAGGCATCTTGGCAACAAACTGTGTGTAATTGGGGGTAGTGTGTAGCTCAGCATGTCTACGATCAGTAGAGCACCAGCTTGAATCCTAGGGTCAACACAATCATTTCAGTGTTGGGCCCCTGAGCGACGTGAGCGTGGCCTTTCTCCCCCCAGTCACCCCGGGGAGTTTTTGACCCCACTTTCAGTTGTACATTGCATTGGGTAAAAGTATCTGCTACGTAAAGGAATTGCAATTGTACTGCCAGGAAGCAGTTTCCCTATCGAATACTTTTTATTGGTGAACGAACTTACAAACATGTCTGACCTCATAGTCTGTGTCCACAGGAAACCAAAAGAGACACATGTTGTGTAGAGGTATCTGTGGGTTCGGTACATCTGTGATCACTTACAGTGACAGTTTTGTTTTTCTGCTGTGGGGTTTTGAAGGTTGGACAGCACTTAGTAGGCAATCTAGTTGTCCACTTATTTTGTGAGCGAAACAGAGTCTTCGGATGAAGCATGCAGCTTTGTATGAGCATTCGAGGGTGGAAAGTGTTCATCTCACTTTTTGCTCTTTCCTGTCCATATTGGACTTCGGTCAGTTGACGGCACAGTGCTGTACCAAGTAGCAATCAAGCTTCTCCTGAAAGCTGAGGTGTATTCCGGTTATCCCCCCATCCCCTGCCCCGCCCCACCCCGCCCCGCCCCCTGCAGGCCTGTCCAATCCCTTCCGTGGGCTGTTGAAGCTGGGCCACCTGGAGAGACGTGGCACCGTGGGCCTCTGGAGGACTTACTACTGCGAGCTGTCACCCTTTGAGCTGCGCTTCTACCTGGATGCCGAGGAGCGTTCCTGCTATGACAACTGTTCCCTGCTTCGCTGCGAGGACGTGTGTGTGGCCACCGCAGATGGCCGCTTCGAGCTGGCCTTCCCCGGCAAGCGGCTTCTCCTGCGGGCGCCCTCCCACGACGAGGCCGAGGACTGGGTGGACCGCATCGTGGAGGCCGTGGCCAAATGCCGGCCGTCCCGCCGTGATGAGCAGCAGCAGTCGCCAGAGGCCATCTCGCCGCAGGACACCGAAGCCCCCGTCTCCTCGCCACCCATCCTCAATGACGCCTCCCCTGAAGAACCCGAGCTTGACTGGATGCGGCCCACGGAGCTGGAGCCGGAAGCCATCAAGGAGGCAGTGTTGTACCTGTCCCAGGATGACCGGTCCTGGATGCCCTTTATCTTCTCCCTCTCCTTGGAGGCGCTGAAAGTCTTCCAGGTGCAGGAGGGCCGCAAGGCCCTGCGCTTCACCCATGCCATTGAGTCCATTCGGGATGTGGTGCCGGACACTTCTCTGGGCAGCCCCGCCTTCTTTCGGGTGCTCACGGCCCGGAACACCCTCAAGCTGCGGGCCGAGAGCGAGGAAGAAGCTCACTCCTGGAGGGGACTCATCCGGGTGGCCCTGAACTCCTACCTGGAAACCTGTGACGGCAGCACAGCCGCCAGCGCCCCCACGGGGAGCGGTAATGCGCACAGGCTGGTGGAGCACAGCCTCAGGGAGGACGGGGGGCTGCTGGCCCACCTCTACAGCGTGCCCACCGAGAAAGGGCTGGACGCTCAGAACTTCAGGTGTGCAGGTGAGTTCAAGTGGTTTGCTGTATTCCAAAAATGCAATGGGCACGAGTTACATTTTTTATAGCTACGTCGGTCACCTCATCCATAGAGACCAAACAAACAGTGGGACAAAGACAAGGAAAAACAGAGATTCTGATTGGCCTGGTTGTGTGGTTCAGATATCACATGAACTAGCACAGCACTTCATACTTCATCAGGCATGTAAAGCATTCGATTTGCAGGTCAAATGAGTAATTCTGTCCTAAGAACATGGCAAAGACCCACATTGGCTCTATATTATCTGCTTTTATCTTTTATTTGCAGGGTAGGGAATTTTTTGCATTAATGTTCTTACAAACAACATAAAACAGACACATTTATTTAGAGGCAATGAAAAGACATGACACAAAATGACTCTTTTGAACCCAACCAGTGCAGACAATCTCCTAGCAACAAAACTCCCAGCTGACCCTATTCAAACTTTAAGAAGACAGTTGGGTCTTCTTGTGCCAAATGTGTTTTCTTATTTAGATGTTGCGTTTTGCTGCCAAAACAAATCTCTGTATGCATGGTACTTTGATTTCAATGTAGTATATTTAGACACTGAATAGACTTTATTAAGTATAAGTAGAACATTTTGGTTGCCACAGCAGTACGTAGAGTACATCGAAGTGCATGAGTATAAAGTCAATAACTAAATATGAATGGCTAGGACTGCAGATTGTTGTGTGCCTGGTTTAACTTGGCCTGGAAATCGATCATGTGACACTGACATAGAGTTGGAAGGAAATGAGGTAGATATTACATGATCAGATGGCAGCTGGGAGGAAGGAGCTCCAGTAGCACTTCTGGTCTCATTGTGTTGGGATCAGCTGGTGGCTAAAGGCCCTTTTGGATCTCCCACGGGGGGAGGGCAGCACTGACCATGGCGACAGACTGCCGATCGGGTGTCCCACGTCCTGAGCGCATTAAATACCTTAGCCTTCTTTGAATGACTGGGGAGCAGTTCACATGTGTTTTGAAACTTGTATTACTGTCTCTGCATAATCTTAACATAGTATGTTTACAAGTACCAGTGCTGAGAACAGGGGACCCTGCTGTTATAAGCCATTTCTGCAGCAGTAAGCTAATGAATTTGGTAGTTTTGAAGAGTCAATATGTCTTCAAATCAGCACGCCCTAACATCACATGCGCAAGAATTAGCTGTTTGAAATTCCCAGAATGCCAAACCCATGTGAGTTTGCCTGCGCAGGTTGCTCCCGACAAATAGGCTTCTCGTTTGGGAAGGCCAGGCTGTGTGAATTCTCGGGCCAGTACTACTGCGAGTCCTGCCACCACGGTGATGCTGTCGTCATCCCCTCCCGCATGGTGCACAACTGGGACCTCATGGTGCGAGAGGTGAGGCCCTTTCTCCGCGTGCCCCTGTGGGGTCTGTCAGCACCGTGCCCCCTGACCCTCCCGGGATCCTGTTTGCCAGGGTTGGCCAGCTGTCACTGCTTTTCTCTTTCAGTGACCATTGCAGGCAGATGTGATCACGGACGCATACAGTTATCTATATTTAGCCATGTCCTGTCCACTCAAATTTTAGTGTTCAAATTTTCTCCATTATTTGCCATTTCCAAGATGTTTGGAAACACATATAGCCCAAGACGGTGGTTCTCCAGTCCATCCGCGTGTAACTCTAGCTGTTCCTCTACCAGCATGTTTGAGTCAGCTGTCATCATCAAACGGCTGAATGATTAGTGGAATAAAGTGCTCTGATGGTGGTATTTATATTCCAGCTCCATTCCACCACTAGACTCCCTTGTATTTGTGTGATTGTGTGTCATATCTCTACTGGAAAGATTTACCAGTACACTGGGCAAGGAACCTTTAGGTTGTTAAGTCGTTTCCCCAGTGGAGCCTTTGACAGTGACTGCTCACTGAGCTATGAGTGATGGTGGTACAGTGTGAGCCACAGTAGATAAATAGGTCTGCAGTGTTTCCCCCAGGTTTACAACTTTGGGGGGGGGGGGCAAACGGACACCATGTGTTTCTTTTAATGACACTCAGATATTTATGTCTGCTTTTTTCAGGTGGTTGACGCGACATATTTTCCAACGCGTGCTCTCTGTCCGCTGGTGGGAGTGTGCTCACTCGTGCCTGTGCGTGCTCATTGGGGTGGAACTCCGCCACGCGCGATACAGAGAGCAGAGGAGAATTGTAAACGCGCGACCGTGTAGAGACAAAAATGACAAGCTGTAAATAAGATAAATAACATAAGGCTATTTAGTTTGTTTAATAAAAGGACAATGTATAGACCTGTTCTATAGGAAAGGTAACCTTAAATGACTTCTGTTGTGATCTGGCGCTATATAGAAAATGAAAGTGAATGAAATTAACTTGACCTTCAAGGGGGGGGCGGGAGGTGCCACTGGGGGGACGGGGCGCCCCCCTAACATAATGGTAGGGGGGTGCTGTTGGGGGGACGGGGCACCCCCCTAACATAATGGTAGGGGAAACACTGGTCTGTGTGGTAACGTTAATGGCGTGAATCAGGATTGCCACACTTATGTAAAATGTTTCTGTAGCATAAATGTTTCTTGATCCATGACAGAGTGTAGAATACAAGCTGCTTAGCGTCCACCAAGACTCTTCAGCTTTTTTAGCTTTTTTGCTATGATCTGAGTTTATTATTAGGTGCCGTCAAATGCATTTTGACTCCTGGAGAACCATACAAACGCTGTTTCCCTAGAAATGTCTTCTGTCTGGGTCTTTAGCTTCCCGCTGACATGTTCATTCTCATAATGATGAAGTCCTTCTGCCTTGTTGCTGGTCATCCTCTTCCTCTTGCCATCATTTTCCAAGCACTATGGTCATTTTCAGTGTACTTGGTCTTCTAATAATTGCCCTAAATATGATTGCTTGACATTTCTGCTTCAGAGGGAAATTCTGGCCTTGTATGATGAAGAATCCACTTGTTTGTCTTGTGTCCCATGTTTTTACTATTCATCATCTGTCTTATTTGTGATGTGCATGTTGTAACACTGTAGCAGGCAGTCGAGGTTATTCCCGTTCCTTTTTTTGTTTCTGTCTTCTGCTTTCATTTTCTATTTAATTTTTTTTAAGGTTCATCTTTGCAGGTGTCATTTCATTTTTTTCCCTCTGTTCTGTACCCATTGCTTGTTGTTTCAGCGTTCCATGTGCTTGTCATGGTAGTCTTTACACTGTAACAATGCGTCTTCCATTTCAGTGCTTCAGCAGGAAACTTGATCTGAGCTTTAACTGTATACAGTTACACAGAACACTCCCAAAGTGTACTCTCCCATTTACACCAAAAAAGAAGGGGAAAAAAGAGAATAAAAGAGTTATTCTTTTGGTGCCAGAACTGCTTTTTATTTAACTTGATTTAGTTTTGATATAAGTATTTTTTTTTTTCCGAAAAGAAACATCTGTAACAACAACAGTGCTACTGCAGACTAACCTTAAACTTGGGTTGAATGGGGGGGTGATGCTTCAGTAAGTCAGGCAGACCCCCACTGTCTGCCGTGGTCACTGACCTTCCGCGGGGGTCTCTGCTGGCAGGTCTCATGCCCAGCCCTGAAGCTGCTGGCCACAGTGTCCCTGGAGCCCCTGCTGGACCTAGATGTGCTGAACCCGGGTCTATACCTACATGCGGAGCCCATGGCACGAGCGCACAGCCTCCGGCAGCGGCTGCGACTGCTGGGGGACTACCTGCTCACCTGCCGCAGCGACGCCATCAAGCGGATCTGCCCAAAGTGAGCACCCCCCCACCCACCCTCCTGCATTTTTACCCCCGAACTTACCTACCTAACACGATGTTGTACAAGTCAAACTGGCTGGGTAAACTGGGATGCCTGTACACCTCTGCTTAAGACTCTGAAGGTGCAGGCTACATACTGGCCGATGTGTTGGAAGAGTGTGGTGACACCATTATACTGTTTGCGATTTTGAAGAGCAAGTGTGTACAATCCAGCAGTGCAGGAGCCTCAGAAGTCAAAACTCAGAAGGTTCACGCGTGATGTTTGGATGTACTGTTACTCTATAATGGTTTGTACAATCCAGCAGTACTCAGAAGGTTCATGCGTAATGTTTGGATGTACTGTTACTCTATAATGGTGTGTACAATCCAGCAGTACTCAGAAGGTTCATGCGTAATGTTTGGATGTACTGTTACTCTATAATGGTGTGTACAATCCAGCAGTACTCAGAAGGTTCATGTGTGATGTTTGGATGTACTGTTACTCTATAATGGTGTGTACTATTCATTCATCTTCATGTGAGAACTGTGTGTTTTTTTTTTTTAATCTGTAGACTAGAGGAAAGGAACTACCTCCTTGAGACCTCACAGCTGTACAGTGTGACCGACCTATGGCAGGTAAGTGACATGTAAGCTCTACAGACATGAAGCCTGGGTCCATTGGCTGTGTCCAGGCTGGGTCTTAAATGCCACTGAAATGCCCCAAAAATGTTGCCAAGATGCCACCTAATAATGTGCCTTGAAGTTGTCGGGTTGTGGCGTCAGCTGGACGTCTGGAGTTTCAGGTTCCTCAAACACTGCAGTTAGTGTTCATTTCTCTAAGAGGGTAAAGAAGTTAAGGTTTCTTTGGGTGAAAGCAGCCAAACTGAATATATTGCCATGTTGTCTTATATACGCTCTATATGTAACATGGTGCTACATTTGTAGCTGGCACTTTCACGCTTATGGCTTGTGTAATACCTTTTAACGTGTGTTTCTGTGGCACTGCTCCATTTGTTTCTTGCCCGCGTCCACTTTGTGGGCACATGTAGATTGCAGATGGGCAGTACGAGGCCTTCCTGCAGAACCTGGTTCAGTTTGCCTCCAGCCACATCTACCAGTGTGACCTCTGCACGCAGAAGGGCTTCATCTGCCAGATCTGCAATGCCGGCGGTATCATTTTCCCGTTTGAGTTCGAGACGACCACCAGGTACACCCCACCGGTTGGGTCTCTGCCGTCCATGGGCCTTTAGAGATATGGGTACACTGCCGCTCTGGCTCCTGCACACTGTCAGAAAAAAGGTACCAGTTTGTACCTTTGGATCACTGAGTCTGTGCCCTCAAGGGTGAATGTACCTTTTAAGATACAGAAATGGACTATGAGGAACATTTTTGTACCCTTGAGGGTACATAATGATGCTTGTACCTTGGGGATTTTCCTCAGAGTCCATTTCTATACCTTAAAAGGTACATTTACCTACAGCTAGGGTACATTTGGCGGACCCTTGAGGGTACAGCCCCATTACAAGCAAAGGTACAAATTGGTACCCTTTTTTCTGACAGTGCAAAGGTGCTGATACAGTCTGCGATTCGAGTGTGTCGAGCGAAGGCCATGTGGAATAAAGCTAGCTAGCTGTGATTTTATCATTTTTATTTAACCCGGGGATCCAGTGAAAAGCTGTGATGAAAGGAATTGTAGTCTCCTACAGTAATATAAGCCGTCTTATTCATAATTCTGTTCTGGCCTGGAAGCATCCTTACTCCTGTCCCCTAACCCCCACAGGTGCAAAGTATGTAAGACTGTGTCCCACACAGCATGTAAGACCCAGTCACCTTCCTGCCCCCGCTGCCTGCGCTTGCAGAAGTACCTGGAACGTGAGATGGAGGACTGACAGGCCCCCTGGCTACACGGCGCCCCCCTCAGTCAGCCTCCGGAAGTGCCGTAGTGTACATTTCGGCTGTGCGCCCCGGGGTGAACGTGGCCAGCCAAGCCTTATCTCCAGAAGCTCCAAGCTGCCATCTGCATGGAGGAAGGGACAGGAGGAGAAATCAGACCCCCCAGAGTGCCCCTCCTACGGGAGAGTTTCATGCTCTAACTGCACGTTACCTCTTGAGTAGTCAGATGCTAAAAGGGGCTTTTGGGAGTTTAGGAGACTCTCAGGAGGGAACCTGTCCTCACACTACACCTTCATCATGTGATGGGTCTGGCCTTCAACTCACTGACACTTTAGCGCATAGGAAATGGGCACAGCGTTTAAAGCTTATATGGTTTTTCATCTGCTTTATCCGTATGAAAGCAAAAACCAGGGATCTTAATTAAAACTTGCAAACATTATGCAACTTCTGTCTTGGACATATGAAGACTGTCTTAGGGTAGCAAAGCATCCCATGCAGCGCTGACTTCCTCGGCGCGTTTTGTCTCTGCGTGTCCTTTTGTACTTCATTCATACTTCGCAACTTGTCGGTGAGGCAGAATCACTCAGGCTGCCCCGTAAAGTCTGTGTAAAGTCTCCTCCATCTGTTGAAAGGTGGAGTAAATGTTATGTTATTGAAGGTTTTCTAGTTTACAGAAGGGTGATGTTAGGCTTTTTATTTTTAGCAAAGTGTTAATCTCAGTTTCTCGTGTTGTTTTTATTTATTGCCGTGTCCTGTTTTTAACAATTTTTCTCACCTGTTTCTCATAGATGTTCACCAAGGTTTCATTGGGATTAAACACCTTTAATTAGAAGGGCCAGCACTTAATCTATTCAAACCCATGCATAATGTCAACAGTTGAAGACTGTGCCTTTGAACCTTGATTGTTTTACATTTGTCACTTTATTCTAACATGATGCACATTGAATGTGGTGCTGTTCAGCATGCAATTTTACTTACATTTACATTGTGCCAAAAAAGGGTAAAAACAGGATATTTGAAACTTCAATTGTGCAGGTGTGTATGTGTGCACACTTTGTGGTGAATGTTCATATTGCTCAGAAGAAAACCACATTTGTATTTTTATTTTGCATTTGTCTTAAGTAATTTTGTTGCTTACTTGTATATAAACCAGTATGAAACCTTTGAATAATTATTTTTATTCCACTTAGGTAAAATGTATTATTTTGAAAGGGCTTCATCCATCTTCTAAGCGGAGAAGGATGTCATTCTGGTTTGCCACTGTTCTGTCATCTTCTTATTCAGTTATGTTTCTGAGTCTGTTTTGGACAGCAACTACCATCCAGACTAAAACAATTACTTAAAACGCAGTTTGAACTTCAGTTTTGTTCATTGTGAAAGCATGCTTCCATTGTCAGACGTGTTTCTTTTGACTTGAAGTGCATTCAGGATTACAGGTTCTGCGTCAAAATAAGTTTTGGAGACAAGACTAAATGGGCAAATGGAACTCTGTTTTCACAGTTATCAAAAATGAACTTCCTGTCCAGAAAGCTGCAGCATGTGTACTTAAAGGGGTCTGCAAAACCTTAATTAGCTTGGTGAAGTACTCTGTTAGAGAATGCAGTAGATCAACGCACCTTTGCAATGGGTTAAATAACCTTTGAGTGAATATGGTTAGCAGGCATTGTTCTAGATCAGTGTTTCCCCATCCGGTCCTTGGGGGCAGCCTGTCTGTCCATGTTTTCGCTCTCTCTGAGTTTCCTACCACATAGTCCAGATTTTTGCTCCCCCGCCCGGATTGAAAAACACTCTTCTAGACCATTCAGTCCTTGGTGGAAACTTGATGAAGAATTGGAGTTGAAGCTTTTAATGTATTGGTGATACCAGTATGCCTGACTGTGTGACCTACAGACCCATATCCCTGCAGAAGGCCTAGCTGCCAAGGGACTCCTGCCCTTCCCATAACAGAAACACCAAAGATTCTCGACGAGCCAGAAAGGACAGATACACAGGGTATAAATGAAGCGCACACGTGGTCTTATTCCTGGACCAAAATATGTTTAAAGGGCAGACCTGGCTTGCTTTAGGCTATGGAAGGAAGTGAATCTGTGTATAAACTCCTATTGCCTGTTGGAAGAACTTGTGTCATGCTTGTATGAATGAGGTAACAGCATAGCAAAGGTTTGTATGAGCACTGATTACATTTTTTAATATATATTTTGCCTCTTTTTTAGTAAAGTGGTTAATTCCATTTTAAATATGAATATAAAGATGTAGGAGTTTTATTCATCCTTTTTCTATTTTACCGTTTCTGCAGCATAATCATGTTATTTTTCTATTTTAATCGACCTCAAAATTTTTTCTTCTCAAAGCCCAGTAGGGGGCAGCACTCCCTTGTGTAGCGTTTCTTGCAGCCTTGTGTGAGCAGAGAATGAACTTCGAGCTCCAGCCTGTTCTGGTTTGGGCTGGATGGCAGAGGAGGTTTGGCTGTGGTTGGTTGCACTATGTGTGCTTTAGACCGAACGGAAACTGGTCTCTGTCTGCAAGAACGAAAAAGTCTGATTGTGGGCGGGGCCGTGAAAGGAGTCTGACTGTACTGTTGCAAGTGTGCAATTTGACTGCTTTGGGAAATTAATTTTGTAAAGAGTTTTATATTGCTATTAAAATCTTGAAATATGTATTACCTTTGTGGTTCCGCTCTTCATTCACTTCCACACCACATACACAACAGAACGCATTCTCTGACTCGGACTTTCACCCAGTGCTTCTGGTCAGGTTCTGTCCACCCATCCTGTCTCAGTTCTAATGGTTCTGTTTGAGTCAGAAGTGCGGCAAACGAGGAACAGAAAGTTGCGGTCCCTGGAAATATGGAAGTTTGGCTAATTCTTACTGTGGCTCGAACCATCAGACTCCCCTATCATCGTGCCTCCTCTGGCCTGTATTATGACTATGATGGAACATGACACTGTTTGCCTGCAGCTTATGTTCCACCTACCATCCTTCAATCATTTAACCTCTTGCCCTGAGCAGGGTCATGGCAAAAGTGTTTCAAAAATGTTCTTATGACAAGTTTTTTTTTTTTGACATAAGGAAATGTGGTGCTGAGGGTGACACAGTGACACACTGGTTAGCACTCTTACCACACCTTGAGCCCTGGCCTGGTTTTTATGGGTGTGGAGGTTGTATGTTCCCCTCGTGTCATCATGGGGTTTCCTCCCCACAGCCCAAACACATGCTAAGGTGAACTGGATATGCCTCTAACCCCGGTAATCCTGCAAAGTTTTAATTTAGGCTGTTCCTCATGTGTTAGTATTATCTATTGATAGTTTAACAGTGATAAATCCTCTTGAAAGATGGTTCTAGCAACCGCGTGTCTGGCTGCCCAACGTACATTCGGTTGACTTCGAGCAGGGGGACCCAGACTCCATCCAGCAAGGTAGTGTGACGGCTGGCAAGCTGAGGGGTGAGAGAACACACCGGAAGTGAGGTGCAGCTGGAGGAAATGCTGTGTTTCCTCCTGTTCCTCCTCCTCCTCCAGAGTGAGAGAGTGAAAGAAGCACCTGCATCTGCTTCGAATCCTGGCAGTAACTGTGGGACTCTCACCTAGCACTCAATCACAGACGGGGGAGCATCTCTGGGCTGCGGCTGCCAAAACTGGCAACCTACATAAGAGGCTGAGACTAGCATCCACAGGAAGGTCAGAAAACAAGTCAGCTGATTCATGATGCACTTGTTCCAGCAGTATACTATGCATATGCTGAACTCTGGCATCAATTAGCATGAGGGGGTGAAGTGCATTGTGTACGAAGGTGCATATTTCCTGTAGCACGGATGGAAAGGTTTGCACTCGTGGTATGCAAGAAAATTTAATGTCCTTTGGTTTGTGCAGGGGTGACTTGTTTCTGGGCCCCCACTCAAAAAATCGTGTGGTTTGCGTGGTGGTAAAGACCAGTGTCGGCTCTCTGTGTGTCTGTGTGGCAGTTAAGAACAAAGGTATACTGTACTATTTCTAATGTATACACTCACCTAAAGGATTATTAGGAACACCATACTAATATGGTGTTTGACCCCCTTTCGCCTTCAGAACTGCCTTAATTCTACGTGGCATTGATTCAACAAGGTGCTGAAATCATTCTTTAGAAATGTTGGCCCATATTGATAGGATAGCATCTTGCAGTTGATGGAGATTTGTGGGATGCACATCCAGG